CAAACAAATGTGAACGTCACTGTCTGGCTTTATGACAACCTCATTAGTAACGACCAGTTCAGTTCTTTAAAAATTACAGTCCTCTGACGAAAACCATCTCATGCGCAATCTGCCTTCCAAGGAATATCAGTTGGACAAACACATGCCAAAGACATACTATGTTCTGATACAAATTCCTTTCAACAATTTTTTGTTCTTTTTTATCGTTTTTGTTTATTCACCCCCCCCCCCCCCTTTTGACTTTTTTCTGTCTAATTTCCAATGTATTTTACCACTTAATAGAATTCAAACCTTGCAGGCTCACGAAGTTTTTGAAGCTATGTAATACTTAAATATAATGGGAGAAAATGCGCAACAGTCAAAATTAATGTCTCAATCAAGATGATAGCCAATCCTAATGTTGTTTTTGTCTCAAGGGCGATCGAATTCTAATTTCTCCTTACAATATCGAGTCACTGTCAAACAGAAAAATAACGAGAATACTGAAGAGAATCATGGACCAGGGGATAAAGAGGAAAATGGCAATGTATATATCAGGGGAAATTGATCTTTTAAGGGTACGCCCGTAAGAAGAAAAGAAGTCTGAATTTGAGCTGTCGCATATTTGTTTGCACTTAATCAAAGCCCAAGAGGTGGTTTCGTTTTCAACCTCGCTCTACCATATGATTATAATAAGTATGAATCTGCTACAGTTACGATTGCATACATTTTATTTTTCATTTGCAGTTCCTGGGAAATTGCTGTGGGTGAACGTTCGTTTAGCCATTGCCATTTTGACTCTTTTTTCACGGTATATTTTACAATACGCTGGTAGCAGCTTGTATAATTGTAGAATTACGGACGAGATATTATTTCGTTTAAATATTTCAACAGCCCTTTTATGTCGCAACTTGGACGCGAGTTAGATCTCTGCTATTTGGAATGCTGTCTTCTGTCGTTTGAATCATTCTGCGTGCGTTCTTGTTAACTCACGCCAACCTTGTTCAACTTATGTAGGTTCTCTTGATGGCATTTTCCACAACATTCGGTGCTTTGTCCGCCACAGCCATCTTTGTTATGCATGTTTGAGTGTATATTTTCTGAGGATAGTTTTTCAGTGTGTAAGTTCTTTCTCCTCCTACTTATAGACACCTGTCTGTTATTTTCATTATTCACGGTCCACGGACCCAAGCTGACATTTGCGTAGAAATCCATTGGATAATCCCGTTGCCATTCAATCTCTTCAAGTACAACTGACGCCTGTTGGGTCGACATAAAACTCTTAGTCAGAGCGGGTACTCCTTAATACAGATTGCTAGAGATTTCCTTCTGAGAATTTGCGAGTACACGTACAATGCATTTCCACAATGTATTTTCATTCTCTGCAGAATTTATTTTCACTTTCACCGCCTGAAAAGCGGGAATTCTCTGCCTGATTTTCCCAATTTTTTTCCATCGAAACACTCAAACCGTCAACTTGTGAAATTCCAATCAGATTAGTTAAGTCAACATTGAGCCTTCGTTAGTTCGTAGCAGCACAATGCGTACCACAAGGTGAGCTTTGATCTAGGTAAANTGTCAATTTTTTCCTGACTCAGAATAAAATTCCCAGATTTTTCCCTGACCTTGAAGAATTTTATTTTTCCCTGGCCATTTCCTAACCTCTGGCAACCCTGTAAATGACAAAACGTTCTGTTGACAAGCCAAACAAGCCTTGGGCTCTTCGTCATTCCTTTTTCAGTCTGTAGCATGGATAGACCATTGCAGGAGTATTGTTATTGTTACTTGATAGGATGCTAGTCCCGCAACCCCCCCTCCCACCTCACCCTTCCCCTTCCCCTTCCCCTCCCCATCCCCCCTCCCTCCCAACCAATTCTTTGCAATATACAGTAATTACAGGCCAGACTTCCCTAGCGATTGAACAGTACACGTCTATACTTAACAATTACATTATGAGCTCGGGATTTCCATCTTGCATAGAAATCGAGAGCGAATAATCTGTTTTAGTATAAATATATATTAGTCGTTCAAAAATTTATCTAAATCCTCTTCACAGACACTTCGAAAACGCAAAGGAGCGGCCATCACTTTGTTAACAACCACACACTGCTAAGCTACTGACTATTTTAAGAGTCATTTTTGTTCATTTGTTTATTCGCCATTTCCACATCCCCCATAATACACCTAGTTTGCCCCCCAAAAATTTTGCATAAGCATTGTCTTCAGTTTCTCTTGGGATGACTGTAATACCCAGGAGAAACGGGAAACAAAGGTTATGGAGAATTTTGGGGGGCAAACAAGGCGTATTATGGGGGATGTGGAAATGGCAAATTGAAGAAATTCTGCCTCTTGTACTTTTAACTTGAAGATATGAGTTAGAATAATTTATCTTGAATTCTTTTTTTTTTTTTAAAGAACTGCCATCTGGAGCAATCAGATGTGGCATGACACTACCCCTTGATTCTTTTTAAGTTTCGTACCTGTACGCTGGTATAGACGGGTTAGCAATCATTACAGCTTCCAGATGAAACCTTCCATCTCCAAGATAACTAAAACAATGAAGAATACTGGTCAATGGCTTCAATAATCTAAAATCTGGGTCAGCAGGCCACAGAAAATAGAAATTAGCAGTTTACAAAGCTTGGGAAAATGTATTATCTACATTACTTGCAAAACATGTTGGACGTTTTATTTCCATACACTTTTTATCTCATTTCGGACAAATTTCAGACAAAAATTTAGGACACTTTGCTGAAACATAGCTACCGTAAATTTACGGATAGCCATACAAAACACGAATTAGACTGAAACAACATCAAAAGATGTTACTTTTACTGCACTGTCAAGGTTTTACAGATAAACCAACAAGAAAATAAAACAAATTCTATCAAGCCGTTACGTATGTCAAGTCGTGTCTCAACTAGAGTTCACTCCATAAATCCCGGCATAAAGGAAACTTGGCACTTTGGAACTACTTCAAAGTTTTACATTGTACTGTTAATATTTCAGACGCTTGAAAGTTTTCGGACACTTGCTTTGCTCGAAATTAAACTTTTTGGCAAGTAATGTCAGTGTAATGTACGTTGTCCTAACTGGAAAACCAGAGAGCTGTCTCACTATCATGGGAGGTAAATAATTATTGCTTCTAGAGTGAAGGTTTGAACATTGTACAGTTCTTTTTTTCTTTTTTTAACACATTTTTAACAGGTTGAACGTGACTTGCGTGGTATGTCTATTTGTAGCACTGACAGCAATTGGCAACGTTTCTCGGGTCATGCATAAAACGTTCATCAGTGTGGTACAAGGAAATGGAACATGCACTTGGGTCAGCTGAGGATGACAGAAGTTTCTGTCGAAACATGTTTTATAAACTCAAACGTTTTGTCGTTTTCTTAAAATTCTTAATCTGCAATAAATGTTAAAACTACTACAAAATGTAAAGAACTGCATTTGAAGGTAATTTGGGGAGTCTCACAATCATTGCTACGTGTAATTACATTGAAGAATGCAAAACACCTTTAGGAGTACAGGGCAGGGTTTTCATTAAGGGCCGGACATCGGGAAAATCGACTGGCTATGAGGACGATTTTGCCTATTCCAACTGGTTTGACCATCTAGAGGAAAGTTTTTTTATAAAGGAGTTCAGATAAAATAGCCTTCCTGCTGAAATCGTTAAGTGAAACCCCTGCAAGTCACTTGAGACAATCTTGGAATGTTGCTTATTCTAGGCAAATGAGTGGATATGAGTTTGACTGTACAGCTGTAAACTGTACTATAAAATTTGTATTTCAGTTAATAAATGCTAATAAGGCTTACAGTGTAACTTGCACAGCCCTTTGAATTTCAAGCCAGAAATATGAAGATTCTGAGCCTCACTATCTTACATGAAAGCATCTTTGTGTTTTATTCTAGGAGCTGTACAGTCAAGAATCTCTCCAGGGGACAAGGGCTTTCACTGTGGAATCTCCACCTTGTAGTCTTTACACAAATCTTCATACACGGCCTGCATGATGAACACAAAAGGAAGATTATACCTAGTTAAGCATAACTTAAATTCTGTATGAAGGAGCATGTAGTTTTGCACTCAAATGGGAAAATGGAATTTAAAAGGTGCTGAATGCGTGGCTCTAGAAAATATCCACACAAGTACCATTAACAGGAGATTGGAAGAGGGAGGCCAAGAGGACAGTGATCTTCTGAGTAAGGGGCTGGGAGGGGAGGGTGGGGGCTTCAAACTCAATAACCCTTCATGGGTAGGGTATAGATATTTTTATTGATTTTTATTCCAAAATGCCAGAAGGGAATTCATGGCCACCAATTTTCTAAAATGTTAAACAACCGATTCATACAATCAAATCTAACAGTTGACATACCTGAAGAGTTGCCACAAATTGTATCGTGCTCACTATCGCCAATGATGTCCCAGCTTCAAAGTTGTACCTGACTGTGTCTACAAATTAAAATGGCTGGCGTCCAATTTGATGTCCACAAATACATATAACATCTTGATTCCTTTTGTAGAGTCAATTGGAACTGTGAAGAGAGTAATCAGTATTTTTAACAGGTCAATTTTTTCAAATTTTTTCAGATCTTTTTCCAGTAGTGTTATGGCTGCAATCATATCTATCATCATGTCTACATTTAATTGCTATTGTTGGACATCTATTACTATGGAATTTACATACTTGAGCCAAGTATTACGTCCAATGAACATAAAGGGCCAACCAACACACAACCGCTCTCATGTGGCTTTGATAGCTTAGTTGGGAGAGCATTGCACCAGTATCGAGAGGGTCGTGGGTTTGAATCCTGTTCAAAGCCTGAAAATTTTTTCAGGTGTTTTTCCAGTAGTGTTATAGCTGCATTCGCATCTATCATCATGTCTACTATTTACTATATTTTTATCTAATGCTAGCTTAAGCCTTGTCCTATATCCCTAGTAGGAGCACTAAGGGTACTACATACATGTACCTGTGTGTTCTAACTAGTATTGTCGGATAACGACTATAAATCAAAGGCTCCATCAGGAGTGCTCACCGGAGCCGATATACAAAATATCCGCTCCGCAGGGCTTAGTACGCTGGCTGGGATTCTTAAGCTTTGGCATGGAACTTGCTGGGAAGCCCGCTTCAAAACAATTGCTTGCTTACTGGTTTATACTCGGAAGCTTATCCTAGCTGGAAAATGCGCA